GCCTCCGGGACGTGGGGCGGGTGAACGGGGTCGTTTTTTTACGGCTCTGGGCAGCGTTTCACAGTCTCTAGGCGGTGAGGTTTGTTCTGCATACTGAGTATCAGATTGAGACACTCGCCTGAGCACTTTATTTCCCTTCACTTCAGCTCGATAAGTACTGTTATCTCAGTTTCACAGACAAGAAAACGGAGCCCACAGGGGTTAAGTAACGTTCCCTGACTTTTTAAGTTAAAGCCTAATGCAACCCGATTTATCGTGTTGCTGTAGTGAATAAGCTTATGAGTTTTCAGGTGGCCAGAGACTTCTTTCAGCCTTAGGTAGAATAAAATAATTTTATAGCTCTAAGGAACTTTTAAGTAGAATTAGTCCCCTAATTTTGCAATTAAAGAAATCGAAATCCAGAGAGTATCTTAACCTGTAACAAGGCTATCTATAATACAAGAGGGTATGTGCGTTTCTTACATTTCACAGTAGTTGCTTAACTAATAATTATTGAGATAAACTTGCATTTGCTAATCTTAAGATACGTGGTGTTTGGTTGACAAAGATTTATTCAGTAAGATGATTTTATTTGTAGGCAAGCTTTGTGTTTCTTTTTGTGGTATAGTAGAAATATGAATTGCAACAAATTGGTAACATCAGTACATCTTTCAGCTGGAAACATTGCCCAAGGAAGATCTTATCAAGTTCGCCAAAAAGCAGATGATGCTAATACAGAAAGCTAAATCCAGATGTACAGGTATTGGCTTAAAAATATTCATCGTGACCACAGTCTTACTTAATCATGGTTATAAATATTAGTTTTTAAGAGTATTTTGGCTTGTTTTGTTTAATGAGTGAATCCAATAAAATCTTAGTTTAGTGGAATCTCCTATTAACATTTTAACCATTCCCCCCTGATATTTTTAGTTATCTCACATCTCTAAACTACAGTTGCCTTTGAATTAGTAAAAGTCAGGGAGGAGGATTTTAAAAAATAGTTTGTTAAATAAGCACTTTTTTTTAACTTCATGTGAATTGTATATTTTGAGTAAAGCATTTTTTTTCTAGAGTAATCAATTGAAATATTAGAGACATGAGGTTTTGAGCCTAAAGAAGTAAAAAGAGGCCTCAAGTAAAGCAATAAAAGATTTCCATACCTGAAATTGTGAAGTATGTTTATTTGCTGAGGTTGCTGAATATTTCCTATTCAGTTTCCCTTTCTTTATATTCCAAAAAGATAAAGATACTAGTATCCGTTATTAATAATTTAGGTGAGCTCTTGAATTTTCAATGGCTTAACAAATGTTAACTGCCTCAGCCTAAAAGCCAAGACTTATTTTCTACTACAGAAAATCAAATTGTGTTTCCGGAGATTGGATCAGCTGCTCATAAAAAGAGTAATTTATTTGGAAAGATTATTCTAGGCCCCAGATCTAGACATGAGTTGATGAAATGGATTAACACGTGTGTTTAATATGAGGTTAGTTGTTGCTTTTAGATTATTCAGTAAGAAGTTATTTACAGCTGAAATAATATCTGGGATTTGCTTCAAAAATGTCAGGATGTGTAAGAAAAAAATGGGAAGGAGGAAGTGAATACAGGTGAGGATGAAACAAGATTGGCATAGAGATTAACCATACTATTCTCTCTAGTTTTTTATTTGTTTGGAATTTTCCATAATAAAAAGGAAAGTAAAAGGTAATACTGGGTGAAGTTAATGATTCCTCAGAATATCTGCTGCATCTTAAATATTTTCTAATTTGTAGTGACTTTTTTTTTTTAAGAATGTACTTATCACTTTAGCCAGTAATTATTTTCTTTGTTTCTGAACTGGTATCTTTTATTTTTTTTTTAATAATTGTTTAGAATTGGAGAAAGAAATTGAAGAATTCAAATCAAAATGTGTTGCTGGAGGAACTGATGATATTATTAAGGTATTGAGACAGCTGGGAATGTTGCTTTCATTTTTACTTATTTACTTAGAGAAAATGCTGATGATAAGTCAGATTTCCTGGAGAGCTGTCAGCCTGCTCCAGCACTATCTGGCTTCCCGTCCCTGGGATTCCACTTCCTCTTGGCCCTTGGTTACACTTTTTACCTTTCTGGTTGACTGTAAAAAGTGAGAGTTAAGTAACCTCCCATTCTATTCTGAAGTAGGTATTACTTTCTGTCCTTTTCATCCCACGCATGCTAATTACGGTCACTGCCTTAGTCTCAGTCCTGCTCTTCCCTCTCCCCCTCGGAAAACCCCGCTGCTCTCAGGACTTTGATGGCAACTTTGGGGCTGATCGTCTATAGATATAATCTATAGGGCTGTGTCCCTAGACATGCCTACTGTGATCAGATGTCACAGTTAAATTCTAGCTGTTTGGGGGGAAAATCTTCACCCGTTTCTCTTGTCCTCTTTTCATACTCAGCACGACCACATGCCCTGCCCTGGACAGCCAGTAGCAGCACAGTTTGGGGGCCTTTTAACTTTGGAGTTTGTGTCAGTTGCCAGAGACCTCGTGTTCTTCGGGGCGATGCTCCACTTTATCCTCTTCTCTCCATTTCCGCGGTTTTGTTAAACACCTCGTGTC